GGATCCTGGAAGCAGGAAGCCGAGAGGGCAGTGGTAGGCTCCGTGCAGAAGCCACATCTCTCCATTTGCTGACAAAGACAGAATCTGGCCCCATCTCAACAGCACAAAAAGATTCTCTATATTTACCTTTCTCTATCCTGCACCCCCAGAGTAAATTCTGGGTTTACTGGTGTTATTTTAGTTCCCTGTAACGCATTTTCATAGAATATCTTGAGGAAGAACGTAGAGATCATCTACAATAGCCTGTCTATTGAGGTGTAATCAAGCACCGGGGTTAATTTAAGCATAAGGCCCTTCAAAACTGGAGGGAGTGAGGGTGAATTCCTATTCTGCTACTTACCAGTTTTGTGACCTCCAGCGAGCTCCTTAACCATTCTGAGCTTAACTCATCACCTATTTTAGAAGGAAAACAGGACCTACCTCACAGGATTGTAGTGAGGAAGTGGGATATTGCATATGGAATGTTCAAAGAAGAGGTTTCCATATTATGTCCGCTACTGTTACTACAAAATACAGGCTGCTCTTCACTTTTCCTGAGTCAGAAGTTCCATTAAAAAATCTAAAAATCGAACGAATAAAATCTTGGGATCCTCCAGGAAAATGCAACATGCATAGTCACGGGGCTTGCAGTCAATAATTTCAGGCTGTCTACAGAGCCTCTGATATTTCAGGCTGTCTACAGAGGCTCTGATATCCAAAGACCCCCAATTAAGAAACCCAGCAATTACAAATTCCTGCTTCTCTATGAGGACCAGCATCAAAACTAGAACCAGGTATCCTGGTTTCTAATTCACTCCTCTTTCAACCAAGACAAGTTGCCCATATTAATAAACTAAAACTGTATTTAAAGCACTCAGCCCTGGGGGCACCTGGCTGGCTCAGTCAGAAGAGCGTGCAACTCTCCATCTCGGGGTCGTGGGTTCGAGCCCCATGTTGCACACAGAGAATACTAAAAGAATAAAAATAAAAAATAAAACACTCAGCCCTGGATATAATAAACATACTTTTGGACAGTGTTTCCTTGATAAACCTTCTTGCAACAACAACGTTTTTTGTTAAATTGGTCAGAAGTAAAGAAAAAGCACAGAAATAGAAACACACATACCTGAACCATTATAATCCAGTCTATAAAAGGGAACTGCACTTTACTTCTCCTTTACAAGTACTCAGAGAGGTTAGCACATGCTCATCTCATAGTCTTAACTGAGATTGTATTTAGGGGGTATAAAACTTATTCTCAGACTATGAAACTCTACTGTGATGGATTCAGGCAAAAGTCCATCCACAGAGGAATCCCTAAGATGAGAAACCGGTGGGGAACTTTGCAGAGGTTGGGTAGCAGCCGATCCCACGTGAACCGACAGCTCACGCTCAGCATCCCCAAGAGGGGCCAACCAGCCTTCCCGACGTGAGAACACAGAAGAACTGTCTATAAAGCATTCTTGGGGGGAAACAAAAAATCAGAACGGTTTTTTGATCCAGCCTTACTTCCATTTCATTGAAAATACAAGGGGATAGAAGAACATGATAAATGAAATCCAAATGGAGCCGACAGAACATGGGGCACTCCACAGCACAAGAGCTGGGTCTCTGACAAGGAAGGGCATCAGAAAGGGGGGTGGGGGGCATAGGGTTGCTATTCATGAAAACAGCCAACTGCATGGCATAAACCACGTTTGGATCCTAATTCAATCAAATATTCTATAAATCCTCAGAGATCTCTGAATATGGATCTGGTATTAGGTGATACCAAGGAAGTGTTCACTTTGTTCAGGGTGACAGTGGAATTGAGGTGATGTAAAAACTGGAGATTTTTCTTATGCACACGGAAAGCAAAAATGACATGAGATCTAGGATCTGCCTCAAAAGACTGAAGTCACAAACCCTTGTTAATTATTGGAGCTGGGTGTGGGCAACGGGGGTGATAAGGATTCGCCACACTACTCTCTCTCCATGTGTTTGAAATTCTCCAGGATTACAAAATAAAAATAAAACTCTATCTTTCACAGTCCTTTTTAAGTCCTTACGTATCTAAGTCTTATAAGAGATAAAACCTTAAAAGAGAGAAAACGGAAGCAAAACTGTCCATTCTCCCCGACTTACTCATTCATGACATGTTCCCGATGAAATCTCAGCTTTGGAAAGAACCCAAGAGGGCATCTAGTTCACGGATTCTCAAATCTGGCTGCAAGTCAGAAACACCCAAGGAGCTTATCAGAACCACCAATTGTCCCCAATCCACCTCAAACCGAATGAATGAGAATCTCCAGGGCGGAGCCACGAAATGCTCACGGCTTTGAGGTGCCCGGGTCCTGCTGGTGCAATCTTGTAAGATCCCTCTCCCACATCCCAGGCAGGCAGGTGTCCAGCAGGGGACGTGTTCCAAGCCCACAGGGACAAGGACCACACCGGATTCTGCAATCTCAGTTATGTCAAGTTTAAAACTGTGTTCCACACTTTTTTAGAAGAAAAAAATGTGACTACAACGTGCAAGCCTTCCATTCTCCCCCTTCAACGAACACATATTTCTCACCAACATTCGGCTGCACTTGGTCACTGGGTTGTGGCCCAACCTCGGTGTGGGAGCTACCACCAAGTAAAATCCCCGGGGAAAAAAAACAAGTTTACCCATGCAGCCAAAGGGGCTTTCACTGGGCCAAGTGTCAGGGAGAATGCCTCCCCCTTTACTCAGCCAGCCAGAGGAGAAACCCCAAATGGAGGGGCCGGGGCCAGTGCCCTGGAAGGACCTGGGAGTAACCCAAGAAAGGAGGACAAAAGGGGGAAAACTCACACTCTGGGCTCTGTTCTCACAAAATCACAAACGATGGGAACAAACTCCCGCTACAACACCGACTGGCATTCGATCAGAAACATGTCAATACAGGTCGGCCTGGCCAGGAAGCCAGGACTCCATGTTTCGTAAGATTAACAATCTCAGATCCTCAAAGCCATTCATTCCCTTTGGTATCGGTGTTTGTGCAGAATGACAACCGTCACCCGGAACACCTGACTCCCAGAGTGGGGGCGGGGGGTGCGCACAGGGGAGATGGCACTCCTGCCCACGTGCCTTAACACACACGCCCTGCCCAACACACCTGTCACTCGGGGGGTGATGAACATGCCTCCAAAACTCTCTGCCCACTTTGGAGTTGCTCTCCTTGAACATTTTTTTTTTAAACAATTTATTTATTCATTTGAGACACAGAGAGAGAGAGAGAGAGAGAGAGCATGAGCAGGGGGAGGGGCTGAGGGAGAGGGAGAAGCGGACTCCCCGCTGAGCCAGGAGCCGGAGGTGGGGCTCGATCCCAGAACCCTGGGATCATGACCTGAGCCGAAGGCAGACGCTCCACTGACTGAGCCCCCCCGGCGCCCCACATTGAACATTTCTGAGTGAGCGTGAGCTCCGGCGTCGTGGCAAACCCAGAGCCAGGCAGGCAGTACCGCACAGGACAGGGTCACGCCCAGCTGAAAGCGCTGTTCGTTGCTTTCTCGGGGACATGCGGCTTTGGGGGACCTGGACAGCATTTTCTTCACTATCTTCTAATCCTCAAGTTGCTTTCTAAGATTTTCCCCTCCTAACCACAAAGACCCACCTATACAGAAACTTTTAACAGCACAGCCTTGGTTCTTCAGAGGGGCGCAGCGAATTCTCTTTAAGTTCAAAGAAAGATGGTAGAGCAGTCAACGGAGCCAAGTCCAGAGGTCGGTCTCCTCGTGCCCCTTCAGCGAGGTGGAGGGGAGGAAGGAGAGCGGGGGACACCCGGGGACAGCAACAGCGCCCCACCTCTGTCACGGTTAGGTAAAAATAAGGACGTGGGGACTATTCGCATTTGCACACTGGACCTAGGCATCGCCTGCCCCAGCGGGCAGAGGCAAAGATCCTGAGTGTCCGCGTCTCTCCCGGTGTTCCCAGGCAACCCCCCTCCTCAAACCCTGCACGCCCACTCCCCACGCTGAACATAAACTCGAGGGGAATACCATTTGCAGACAAACGTGTCCAGTTGCAGCAAGGAAAACTATGGCGTCGCCACTTCCGGATTCATATTCTTCCCTGCCCAAGACGAGCAGAGTTCCCTCAGGCTCAAGATTGTACTGGAAACAGGACTGTGTTTCTGAACAGAAAGGCCCCAACACAGCAGAGTCAGCGCCCCACACTCGAACTTCAAAAAGGGGCAAAAGCAGACTGCCGGCTACACATCACAATGTGACTACCCCGAAAAACCAGGCTGCAAAATACAGTAATAATGTGAAAACTCTGTGGAGAGAACGTTTCCCAGCTTACGTTTTAACTGCGGCTACGTGACTTCTCGGAACTCCGAAGTCAGACCACAGCTTTGCGTTCCAGCCCTACTGGTCAATCCTCTTTCTACGGCTCCTATAATGATATTATACAAACTATCTCACTTCAGCAGGCCAGGAAACCTGGACTAAGGCTTTACAGTCAAAATTCAATCTTTTGGAAGCCCATCTCTAAGGGGAACCTCACCCTGATTTTTCATAGTCTGGGTGTTTCGAAGTTACCACTTACGTGTACCCCTGATTTTATGAGTCACCTCGACAATCCATGTCTTTGTCTGGTCTTGGAGTGTACTGTTCGGTCACCTCCCAATGTCCATTACTGTCCAATTTATTCCAGAATACTGGAGAGGTTGCCTCTCTCCAAGTTAATACTTAGAAAGAAAAGAAATGCCATTTTTCTCTTGTCCCAGGTGGCAGTTTTCCTCAAATGTATATACACATACCTCATGGTTAATGGCTGTCCTTGGAATACGGACCTGTGTTTGTACTATAAACCCAAAGTGACCCATCCACATTGAGGGATGATCCTAAGAACCAATCAAGTGCACAAACCACTGTTTTGTGATCATGCTCGGATACCACAGTGGGAAACTCTCAATCCGGCACGAACACCAAAAACGCTCTCCAAAGAAAATGGTTAAGGGAAAGGAAGTTCTTTGCAACCAAATGAATGAAATAAAATTACTCATTTATAACTGCTACTTCGGTGTGGTGAACATACATCCCTCACGCTTTTTTTTTATGGGGAGAAATGACACATTTTAAAAAAGAAAAACGTGAGTTCCAGACCCAGAGGGCTTACCTGACTCCTCTCCTTGTCCACTTTCTTAAAACACTTATTCAAAGACAAATTATGTCTCACTGAGTTTTTCCACCCGGTAGGTGCGTTTGCAAAATACGGAAAATGTTCCAAGATCCAGTTGTAGATATCCTTTACTGGCAGGCGCTTGGTTGGAGAGTCCTCGATGGCCATAAATATGAGGCAGCTAAAGGAGTAGGGGGGTTTGCAGTTGGGGTTCTGCCTGGCATCGTAGGGCATGTCAGAGTGGGCAGGGGATGGAGGGGTGTCATCGTCCAGGTCCTGGACAGGGCTGACACTCCTGAGGACCGACTCCCCGAAGCTCTTCAGCAAGTTCTTGCTCTCGTGAAGCCAGTTCAGATTGGTCAGCTCTTCATCTTCCATGGCCCCCTCTTCTAATCGGATGTCAGGCAAAGAGAAGTCAAGGTCATCGTCCTCCTGCAGGGCCTTGGAGAAACCACTGTCCCGGTAACACTGACTCAGCCCACTGGAGACACTAATTCCTGAGCTTTCTGGCTTCTTACTCGGAGGCATGACTGGACCCATTTATGTGAAGGCTCCTGGTAAACACATTACAAAGAAAAGATGAGTTGGGGAACCCCAAAACAGAGAGGCAGCCATGCCCTCCGAATTCTTTTCAGAATTCTTTCCACCCCTGCCGCCTCTATGGACCCCCCGGCCCCACGGGAACACCATCTCACGGCTCCCACGCTGGGTAACACAGACCCACCACTCTACCACACAGAGATGCACTACTGAGTAAAAGCAGTCCACCGTGCAAGCAGCCTGGCGACTTGGTCACCTCTTCAATACACTGAGACTGGAGCTATTTACAGTACCTTTAATATGCATACGCATCATGAAAAGAATGGGAAATCTACAAAGCGTTCTTCCCAGATTTACATGACCGTTCTATTATCACCGTGCCCCACTGTCAGTTATTTCTTGGTGCCTCGATTTCTTCTCAAAATATGAACGTATACACAGGTAAAATTCTTTCAAGCCTCACGACAAACACTACAAAGTAAACGCAATGTACCACTTCTGTCACTTGGGGTTATAGTCCTCATAGTTTATCCTACCCTCCCCACCGCCGACAAAAATACCTGGAAGTTTAAGGCCAGGTGTTTCAGATTAAGCTTAGCTGTCTCCACATGAAAACCATGACAATTGCCCCAGAATTAACACTCTGACCACAGCGTGCATTGATTGGTAGTGTTTCATATTTGACTGTATCTTTCCTCCACAAGCAATGGCCCCAAACTCTGCAACTTTAATCACAGCTGGCAAGTCTAAAGAGTGGTAAACAAGGAAGTCTGTGGGTTGGAACTGGAGGAAAAAGTACATTCAATTACTGGGACACTACACCCCAAATGAAAAAGCGAGTAACTTTGGGCACCACACAAATCAATGGGAATGTGAAGACGAGCCATTAACTGAAATTAGAATTGGTGAAAAAAGCCAGAAGAGCAACTGGCAGCTTCCAGACTGGAAGGCAAATGCAACAAAAATTGCTACAGAATTCTATTCTGCACCCCCCCCCATGCCACCCCCATTTTTATCAATGACCTAGAACAGGGAGTACAACTTCTGATGAGAAAAGAAAATGAGGACGTGGCAAGTCCACAAACAGAATGACCCCGATAGATACAAAGCATATTCAACCCTCGAGTACTCAATGTAAGATAGAAAGAACAGTAAAGATAATGAAAGAGGTCTCCCACTGTCCGCTTGTAGCGCTCACACAATGTGCTTGGTTTAAGAAGCATGTCTATTTTATTTTTTCCCCCTGAGTAAGAAGATCAAGCCATCTATCTAGAAAAAAAGAATGAACACAAAAGCAGACATGATCATTCTAAGGCTCCAATGCCCATTGACAGTGTGCTGAAAGTAACTGCCACTTCAGCTGGGGAAGCTCTTGAATGGGATTCTTGAAAGCATAATGTGAGGCACCCAACGGCCAGCCCAGGGTGCCTGAAAACTGCAACACCCTCTCCCTCTATCACAAGGTAGACAGACAGAACCTGCTGGCAGAAGGCGGGAGAAAGCTCTGCGGAGCTGCTGAGAGATGCCCAGCTCCAAGGAGCGAAAACTTCCAGTTTCAGCCACAGGGACTATTTCTTAATGTCAAACAAGGAACCTAACCTGAGTAGTACAGGACACAATTTAAAGAATAAGCCAGTATCTTTAGGTCTGGGGCTATGACAGAGACCAACTTGATAACGTTTTTACCTTCTTTATGAACAAATCAAAGCTAGGCTCGTCTCTCTCCGAGTTTCCCCAGATCCCATCACAAAACCCTAGGTTTCTGACAACCAGGAATATCCACACAGTAGCGTACAAAGCAGAACATATACTCCAGCCACTGAAGTCAACTTCAGCTCCAGATGAAAGTTTTATGTCTCCTGAGCTTCCAAACAGGAAAATTATATCATGGCTGACAGTAAAGTAATTTAATTGCACTGTTGCTATGACAACATGCTGCTCTTTCTTTTCAATTTGCTTATTTGTCAGTAGCTTCCCAAAGGAACTAACACACTATACTCCATGTTTTCTTTTGTTTTAAACAAACATTGCCAGCAGTAGGGTTTTATTAGAAAAAAATGGCACTGTCGAGAAAAGAGGGTGACAGGGGTCCGCTACCCTTGAATCATGTCTGCTTTGTGTTTGTCCCCCCATGCTCTCCAACTGCTAACTGCAGCCCTATAAATCCAGCATTTTCATAGCAACGGTATCAAGAGCTGCTGATCACTACAGTTCCATTTTAAAAAAAACAGTTCCCAGAAACCACAGCTGAGGAGTTTTCCATTATTATACTCTAACTACATAATTTGCCAAATCTTTTTTTCCTCCTATTTCAGAGGGGAAAAAAAGAGAGAGCGAGCGAGCGAGAATCCGGATCATGTGAGTCTGCAGTTAAGCAAACATTTTTAATCTGCTGCCAATAAGGTTGCTCCACCAGATACGCAAATAGTTATTCACTAGTGACCTCCTTACAACTTTTCGGTTTGCTATTGGTTACATTGCACACACACAAACACACACCCTCTTTTTGTTTTTATATGACTTGCTGTGTTTTGTTATCTTATTTGCTTTTCAACGGAGAAAATGCAGCAGGAAAGCGAGTTTCTTGCCCACTATCAGAAGGTTTCCAAATAACTGACACATTACTGACCCAGCTTCGAACAGATGTTCGAAGTGAACTTTAAAAAGTTAAGAAATCCTCTCCAAGCCGAGCAGGGCAGCCGCGAGTTTGGAGGGGCCGGGCAACCCCCCTTCGCGCGCGCGCGCGCACGCACGCGCTCCACTCCCGTCTACTGTACTTGTCAAAAACATTTCAAGGGGACCTGCGGGAGCGGCGATTGGCTGCGTCCCGCGTCAATCAGCAGCGTTGCCAGGCAACGAGGAAACTGCTCTGCTCCCCGTATACTGGGCAATTGGGAGCTCGCATACCTTCACTGCCGGTCAGATGTCATAAACCTTTTATTGGCCGCACCGCGGCGAGCCTTAAAAACACATCAATAAAAGCCCGCCGTCCCCCCAACTTCTCCAGGGTCCAAGGAGGGTTTCCTAGAGAGCCGGGGTGAGGAGGGGTCGGGCCTCGGGGGGTCTCGGCAGACGCTCACTGCCGGTGCCAAGCCTGCACAGTTTGGGGGGAGGGGGCATCTTTGTTAGGAGCCTGTTTCTCATCTTGGGGTCTCCCCTAGATCGGCACCCCCTCCCCCGGCCCGGAACGGCGGGGATCCTGTCCTCCGCGGACAATACCAACTCTGCTCCTTTCGGGCTTCTTTCGGAAATCGAGGCACCGGGAAACAGCCCGCACGTCGGGGCAGGAAACTCTTCGGACCGGGCAACTTCCCCGCTCGGGGGCTGCCGTCTCCCCGCCCGGCCGGGCCCCCCACCCCAAGCCCTCCCCCCAAGGAACTGCGGAGTCCCTCGTCTGCCGAGAGCGGTGAGGTCGCCTCCAGGACGGCCTCGGACGAGCGCCCCCGCCCCGAGTCACCCCAACCCCACCGGGGCGCCGGCGGGAGCGGGGAGCAAACTCACCTGGCCGGAGCGGGGCGCGGAGGCGCGGGGGCGCCGCAGCCCTTCAGCGGGAGCCGACAAAGTTTCGCGGGCGCCCAGCGGGCATCGCTTGGTGGCCCGGCTAAGGACGCGCGGGCGCGGCGCGGCGAGCC